CGGTCTGGGATTCTGTGATTCTGTGAAGTTAGTTTATCAGATTTTATGTCTGTCCAGTCTGCTGGGGATGGCTGGAGGAAGGGTCATTAATAATTGTGAACTTGTTGGTTTGCATTTAGAATTTTAATATTAACATTATCATTAATTTCTGTCTCTCTGTGGAAATTATGTGAAGAGACTATTGAAATTGTAACTGTAACTTTGAGCTGAGGCTTTTCTGAAGTCTAATTTGGATCTGTACTATAATGAACATGTAACACACATCAGTCAAGGGGCTGCTGTGCTTAAGCAGGGATTTAGCAAACATCGCTGTACCTTACTTCCTGCTCCTGTAAGGCTGTGGTTGTCTGACCACTAATTTCTTTCTCTTTCTTCTCCCCACTCCTTTCTGATGTATTGAAGAAAATTCACCTAAACAGGAAGCTGGAGTTGGAGAAGGTCAAGGAACTGCAGGAGAAGAAGAGGAGAAGAAGAAGCAAAAGAGAGGCAAGGTCTAAATGGTTGATTGTGGTACTGATTTACATGCAGTTTGGGGTGTCCCTTTCTCACCTGCTGGCCTGGACTGTGGATTCCTTGCACTTTGGTTGTTAGCCACGCTCTGACTCTGCACAAAAGTTACCGAATGTCTTTCTTCCAGTGGTAGCAGAGTTGGTGTAGTGATGTATGCTGGTGAAAGAATTAGCTAGTAGTAATAGCCAGTGAAAGATGACCTGCATCGTGTTAGCTCATTGTTCCTATCATTGCTATTGCACGTACTCAGGGAGTAATTCTTCATAACCTAAAATCAGCTGGCATGCCTCCCGGAATAGCTGTTTCTGCCCTGTTTAACAGCAGTTTGTAGGTTGCTTGCAGAGGAGAACAAAGGCTGCTTTCCTCTGTTAGTGCTCCTGACACTGCTTTTGCCTTTTTTCCTTCCTCTGTATTCACGTAACAGGATTTGGTTTTGTGCTGTTAACACTATCTCCTGTGTCTCCATTAACAGCCGTGTCTCTTCCCAGCAATACTAAAACCAACTTTGGAAGATAGAAAACACATGAAACAATCTAAACATGCTTTTATCTTGTGTCGTTGGAGTTCTTTCTGTTTAATTAATTAACATACTTTCCATCATAAATCAGAAAGCTGGGGTTGTTTAAATGCATTTGCCTCTGGAGTGTTAGTTGTGTCTGTAGTGCTTCAGAAATTATGGTTAATAGCCCAGTAAGGTTCAGATTTTAAGCCAAATATCACTGCAGGTGTTTTATTTTTGTCTTGGTAACCAGTTATGTTTACCTTGTCAGTAGGCTGTGTGTAGTCACAACAGTAACTTCTGTTCTGTAGCTTGGATGCTTTTCCCAGAGACTTTTGTTTTTGTAATGTTTCCTTCCAACATTAATTTATTGTGTGGGGTTGTATGGTTAGTTTTCAGCCTGGTTTTTGGTTCTAAAATAACAGTGTTTACAGTACTTAGGGATTTTCTCCTAAAGTTTCATGAAAACTTCTGGTATGGTGTTAAGTATGATGGTGTAAGTTTGACTGTAAAAGAGAAGTGAGGAAAAGCAAGCACAAGCTTACTAAGACACTGCAGAAATTTACTGAAGAAATTAGTGTTTTACTGTCTTAAATTATTGGATATCAATTTATAGTGATGTAAAATTGAAAGTTCTGCATGTAAGAAAAAGTATTCACAAGGGGTTAGTTTGCTTGTCATAAATTCTTTAGCTTTTCATGCTGAGAAGGCTTGAGAACATGAAACTTAGGTTTCCCTGGAGTAACTTGATGACTTCGTATACGAAGTTAACTGAGATCTTAATCTGACTTGAGGAACCCTAATGAGTGGAATATATCTTTTGCGTTCTTTACTCAGACTAATAAATGCCAGATATGTGAAGCTTTGGCCTAGAAACAGGCAGTAAGAAGGAAGATGTTAAATCATGTGGAAGTTTGGCAGTTGGCTGCTGTAGCTGGCTTCTGTTAGAGAGCTGTGGTGTTTCCTGTTAGCTCATGTATCGGTGGATGAGATGGTTCATACTGGGGTTGTGCACAGATATCTAGAACTTAATCTGCTGTTCAACCCCGCAGCCAGGGTAACGCATCCTCATAGCCCCAGTGAATGGACATAAGTGGCTTTGCCTCAGGCACAGACCCTAAGGATGTTAAACTCATGTAAAACATGAAAGTAACAGTTTGTTCCTAGGATTACAACCAAATTCCTGAAAGAGGAGTTAACTAAAGACTAAATGCAATGATTAGTAAAATGGGGAGGAAACACCATTTTTGATAGTTGGAACACAGTTTTGCTGTGCATGCTATATTTAAACACACATTTGACACGCATGTGGTGTTATTTCTTGTAATATTGAGCTTTGATGACCTGGGACCTTTCTTAAATAATCATAAAAAAACCTGAGTGTGAGACAGTGTGCAAAATATATTTTTGTTTACCATCACAGATGGGGAGATAACACTTTGTTTGTTTATAGGGGTGAAATCTGACCATATGTGCCTTTTTCTTTACGTGTGACATCATTTCACTAGTTATGTAAGGTTGTACTCTCTTTCAAAGGTGGAAGAGGTCAGATAAAACAGAAAAAGAAGACTGTACCGCAGAAAGTTACGATAGCTAAAATTCCTCGAGCGAAGAAAAAATATGTCACAAGAGTATGTGGCCTTGCAACATTTGGTGAGTTGACTTTTGTTAAGTGTTTTGTGTTGGTTTTAGATGTGCTTGCCTTTAACCTCCTATTTCTTCTGATTGTATTATGTTGGGTGATCCGCTTCCATCTGTGCGAGGTGAAAGTCCCAAGGTGCTTTTAGCAGTTCCAAAGCATGCCAGAGCTACGCTGACTTCCCTCAGTGATAAATTATTTAAGTCTTTATTTCCATGAGGGTTGCAGACAAATAGGGCCACAGTTGTTGTTTTTTTCTTAAACAGGGCTTCCCATAACACCCCGCTTGTCAGACTTCAGAGTAGCCTATTGCCTTTAATTATAAACACCTTTATTTTCAAAAAGCTGCTTATTTCCATCAAACCTGTAAACATGCTATTGAAAATTAATTTTACCTATTCTTGAGACTGATTAAGTAAGGCTGTAACTGCCTTTTTAGCAAGGCAATCCAATCATTACCAGAGTACACTAACAGTGCTGTCCTACATAGCTTTGGCTCAGCTGCAGCCAGCCACTTGGTGCTTATAACAGCATCTTACTTCACACATTGATCATGAATTCTGTTAAAAGATAAGTTTTAACCTTGCCTGTGTTAACAAGATAGACACGTGATGTATTTCCTGCATGAGAGTATCGTCAGTTTTCTTGAGGGGTCAGTAATGTGCACCGGCTTGATCTGAAGCGGGTACGTATCTTTGTGCTGGAAGCCAGTCTCAAACACTGATGGGACGTGTTTCTGAAAAGAACAAACTGAAGGACTCCTATGGAAAAACTTGTTCAATAACTATGGAAGCTGTTTTAAAAGCCCCTCCAGCTCTGAACAGTTCTGCCCGTGCTTTTCTGGTGAGCACATGCAGCCCAGACCTGTGTAAACAGAATGTGTAGAGGGTGATTTTTACCTTGAAGGGTTGGCTGGATTTGTAGAGTCAGTTATTTTACATATAAACAACAGACTTTTGCTTTAATGGAAACTAGCAAAGCTTTAACTGTAAGCTGCCATTTTTCAACAATTAAAACAAGATTTTTGTTTTAAACTTGAGAAAATACTTTTATGACAGTGACTGTACTGAAACTGTCCACTTTCCCATCAACAGAAATTGATCTTAAGGAAGCACAAAGGTTTTTTGCTCAGAAATTCTCCTGCGGTGCCTCAGTAACGGGAGAAGACGAAATCATCATTCAGGGGGATTTTACAGATGACATTATCGATGTAATCCAGGAGAAGTGGCCTGAGGTAATGAACCCTTTTCTCTGTCAGAACTCGGGTTTTCCACAACAGCCTGTGACTTTCCAATGATTTTGAAGAAGGGTTTCATCTTTGGCAGCAGAGAGTCTTGTGCAACAATGAAAGACCAGATGAATGACTAGGTTAAGGAGTGGTTAAGCTTGAAGCCAAATGTTGCTTCCATTTTCCAAGAAGCATTAGTTCCCTAAACATGCAGTGCTGTTAGCATGGATACTACAGCGAGGAAGGCATGTTGGAGTAAGTCCAGCTGTCAAGTATTTGTGGCTTCTTTGTGCCCATTCTTAATGGTGAATGCCCAAGTATTCTTGCATTGCCATCCTGTTTTCCAAAATCACTTAAAATATTGCAAAATTCTTTTTTTTAAACCAAACATAAACCAAAACCAACCAACCAAACAAAACAAAGAGAAACAAAACCACTTGTGTTTCAGAAGAGATCAGCTGATTTTGGGTTGGACTGAAAAGTTGATGGTTGGGACGTTTGGTTGCACCACTGTAATAGTAAGTGATTTCTTTGACTCTCCCTTGTTCTGGTATTTCTGGTATTTGAGTTCTTTCTGAAATAACTCTCTAGGCCTGTGTGTTCATTCAGAGCCCCATAGGCTTGGCTGTGTCCTATAGGCACTTGTCACTTGCGTAGAATTTACAGCAGGGAGTCGTGGATGGTGCTGTCTTCTTCTCCCACACTTCACTGCATGTACAGTGCTGAATATTGAGTGAAACATGTAAGAAGAAAGTATAGTTAATATGCTGTGGTTCTGTTTTGTTTTTTTTCCTAGGTGGATGATGATAGCATTGAAGATCTTGGAGAAGTCAAGAAGTGATAGTGAAAGACTACCTTTATTTAATTATATGGTTATAAATGATGTAGCCAAAGTGAGGCTTCTAAATCGGTTTGCTCTGCAGTGAAACTGTGGAGAACCTGGATCCTTGGCATTTTCACTGTTCTGTATAGGCTGCTTGTTTGTTTGTTTTTTTATTTTGGTTGTGATATTTGCCAAAGTTAAATTGGGGTTTTATCATGCTTACGCATGAAGTAGGTTTAATAAAATTACTGTTCCTCACTGAATACAGTTTCGCTTTTCTTTGCAACCACTTTCCTCTAAGATTGTTAGAGGAAAATAATAATTTAAGTCATTAAAAGCTTATTTTTCATTTGCTGTCCTGTCGTGACTTACTCCTGTCATGAGTAAGTGTTGCTAATGTACAGAAATGCATACTTGTCATTTACTTCTGTGAAACCTTAGAATTCAGAATGGGACAAACTAAAGGTTTGTGAACAATTAAAGGCAGATGAATGCTAAAGCGGTCAGGGCGGTTGGACAAGATGATCATGATGTCCCTTCCAGCAGAACTATTTTACTCTATATGTGGAAACACTGAGGAACATGTGAGTATGTCTGAAACGTTTAGCCTGTTTTCATAATTCCAAATGATCCTCTTGATGAGGCAGTTGTAGTGGTGTTATGCTTTTAGCACGCTGCTAGTTCAAGAATGGTAGTAACAAACACAACTTTGTAGTGACCCCTGTTTGTGTTTTGTATTTTTAATAATATTAAATGCTCCCTGGTGGCAGTATCCTGGAATTGACAGTCTCCTGTTGCTGTAAAATGTAAATGAGATCAAACCCAAGGGGGTGACGCATCATACACCCTGTTCTTTACTGGTAAAGTTCCTTTTTTTCTGTGATATTTTTTTTGTTTATAAGCTGATAGGTTTAGTTGAGAGTGGTGTAGCTAAAGAGACACCGTATCTCTGTAGTTGTTCCATGTCAAAGCAGAGCAGGGTAGTTGAAGCTATCCTATAACATCCAGACAGACTCTTACCGGTGTGTTAACACCATTCTTAATTACCTTTTGCTGGTGGAGCACGGCCTGAGGGGCCGCAGGACTCGAACCCACAACCCCAGTGCTGCGTGGGGGCGGAGCTTCTGCCGCGCCAGACGGCCGCTCGACGGCTGACGCGGGCGGGCCGCCACTGTGATGGCACAGGGCCAGATCGCCGGTGGATTTGGCGGGTGGGCT